TTCATCTCATTGTGTAATATAGATTGTGTTCTCTCACCAAACACACAGATGTCTATGATTTACTTACAATTGTCAACCCAGATATTGCTATATCATTCCTACCAAATGAGTGATTTTGTTAAAACTAACATATGTCCACATAATTGTTGTAAGTCACATCCACAAAATGTAGCACATTAATATACGATTTGTCTCTGTATAATGTAACGTCTGAAACTGTCGCAACACCAAACTTTGTGTTTTTATATAACCGACTGAGCAGTACATGTGTGCACCACTGATTTGTATACATTTTGTATATTTATGAACTTTGAAAATTTAACAAGAAAATTTAATTCAGTCAGGTACAATGTGCACATCAAACTTGAAAAACAAAACATATACTTTCATAACAAAATTTCACCACCATTCTCTTACCTTTCCAAAGAAAACCAAACAAGACAACAACACTCCCTAAACAGTACTCTACAAATCAATATTCTGTACTGAAACACTGAAGTCATTATGCAAGGGAACTTTTGACACAATAAAGCAAGATGGTGAATCCTAGTAGGCATTGCAGGGGTTACACAATTACAGTGATAAGTGCAAATACTAACAACTGGTTGGGATTATATTCAACAACACAAACTGCTATTTGACAATGATTTTAAATATAAAGTATATTCACTACCTCCTCTAAAGGCAATAAAATCAATTTTAAAGTTAAAATTTCAAACTTTACACCGTAAGGAATATATATGATTCTTCCTGATCTGGAATATAAATCTAGTCAATTTCTATTGATTTATATTTATTTAGTCCATTTCAATATCATTGTCAAACAGTAAACATGCAGTGGGGAACATTGTACTACATTTCAGGTGCACACAAACAATTCATCAAAAAAGTAGTATACAAATAATCAAGCATACAAACAATTTACCAAAATGAAAATTAAAGATGTATTTATAGCAATAAAACAGACGATCAAAGAGACATCTTGCCACCCACTAATGCAAATTTATTTATAAGTCAAATCTTTTTCTGTTCTCTTCTGTTCTAAATTATATGAAGTTTGAGAATACCTCTCAAGATACAGCAGTTCTTATCTTTAACCAACAAGTCAAGATGGTTTGCAGTCAGCAATTTTGTTTTTTCTGATCAGTCTAAAAATAGACATTGCACAATTACACTGGGGACCAACAAGAACCAAAGAGAAACCTTTCAATTCATTACTTCTCAAGAAAATCGACAACAAACTTCAAATATCAAAATCTGAAATGGCCCCATTCAGCCATTTTGTTTTCCCAATTTTCCACAAAATTGACAGGGCACTACAAGGAAGTATGGCAAACCAACATATGAAGTTTGAGAAAATTCCATTCCGCACTTCTCAAGAAATAGTAAAATTTCAAACAGCACTACTGCCATCTATTTTGTTTTCACTCTCAAGGCTGAAAGGCCACTACCAGGGACCAAAAGGAATATACAGATGAAATCTTAGAATGTCACTCAGGAAATAGCTTTAATAACATTAAACTGACAAATCCAAGAATGATCTCCTACTGGCCGTACTCTTTTCTGATCAATTTGAAATTGGACAATTACACTAGGGATCAAGTCCAATGTAGAAATACCATTCGAGAATGATCCGTCCATTACTTTTGTAGGAATCATATTGAGTAATAACAAACATCAGTTGTCAGAATCTAACATAGGCACCTTTCAGCCATATTGTTAACCAGATTGGTCCCAATATCACAATGACATAACAAGGGATCGCCAGGACTATTCATCAGAAATATGAGAAATATCCTGCCTGTACTTCTCATGAAATAACTGTAACAAGATTTGTGTAAGGACTGACGGCCCTTGAAAACAGAACAACTCCAACAGCCCACCATCAGACGATGGTAGGCTGAAAAACAATGAGTACTATATATATCCGCCTATTGCACACACTCATGTGTAACACGCAGGTGGTTAACAGAGAAAAAAAACCTGAAAAAAAATCTATGGGAAGTTAATTTAGGACCTAGTAGACATTTGGCATGGTCAAACTATGTGTATGCTTATCAGAAAACGATGTTATGACAAGGTGAGCTTAGGAAAACATCATTACCAGGTAGACACTAATCAACTGTTTACACTTTGTCTACAATCTGTCATGATTGTCGCAGTCGACGATGAATCACTGGAAAATCAAGACAAATACATGACAGAAACATTACAGAGACCTGATTCCTTTTGATATCAACAATCGTCATACAATACATGAAAAACATACTTCAAAAAAACAACACTATAGTCGCAATTTATGCAAATTAATATCTAACATCTGACAAAGAACAATGTTGGGGTCTCCTAACTTTTCAGTGTATTTCTTCATGCTCATCCTAGACAAGGCTAAATATACCAAGGGCAGAAAGATATGAATATCAGAGTTAGTCAGTCACTTGATTCTTACAATGTATTTCATACATGTACTGTCCCACATAAGAACAGCTTTAATTTGTCTTGAATGTCCGGGTTCATATCCACTAGATGACAAACAACATCATGTAACAAGAGACCCATAGGGCCTGTATCGCTCACCTGGAACTTAATGCCCAGCAATAGTATACAAAATGCATGTAGGTTGGGTATTTAACATATTTCCAAATCACAGCTCAGCAACTTAACCTTTTTGGTAGAGCAAGACCAATGGGAAAATTCATATGTCATGACTATCTTTCTCCAGACATGGACCTGCACTGTTTTACCCCAGACATGGACCTGCACTGTTTTACCCCAGACATGGATCTGCACCGTTTTACCCCAGACATGGACCTGCACCGTTTTACCCCAGACATGGACCTACACCGTTTTACCCCAGACATGAACCAGCACTGTTTTACCCCAGACATGGACCTACACTGTTTTACCCCAGACATGGACCTACACTGTTTTACCCCAGACATGAACCAGCACTGTTTTGCCCCAGACATGGACCTACACTGTTTTACCCCAGACATGGACCTGCACTGTTTACCCCAGACACGGACCTGCACTAGACACAAAATGGAAGATGATTCAACATGTTTCCGCAATAACAATGTTGCTGGTGGGGTTTAAAATGACCTAGCAACATTTCCCAACACTTTCACATCAACAACATGTAATTTCTAAACAATTTCCTACCCAATTAAGCATCATTTCCATTAAGCATTGATGCAGCAAAAGTTATTTTGTGCTTTTTAGTATTTCCAGAAATAGAAAGGGTCTTCACAAAAGTTGAGTACCTGACTTTGTCTGTAGGATTCCTCAAATATTATTTTTAAAGCTAATATCTTAAATGGACATATATTTTTTGCAGAGACCCACTGTTAATGCAAAACTGATTTCCTTTTACCAAAGCATACTTTAGACAAAAAAAATGACAATATCCTGCAATTCTTGAAGAACAAGATAAATTTTCAAGAAAATATTAGATTTTCTCCTTTGAGCTCTATCCTTCTGTCCCTAGGGGGCCAAGAACCATCATTTATACCAAACTAATTTCTTTTCATAGGGGCATGCTTCAGACCTTATTTGTACAATCTTATGCAACTCTTAAAAAACAAGATAGATTTGAAAGAAATTGATAAATTTTCCCTTTTGGGCCCCATGCATCAGGCCCAGGTAGCGGGCCCAAGACCTACTTTTTCTACAAAATTGATTCCCTTCCCCCCAGGATGCTTCAGTCCAAATATGACTAAATTCTGCTGAGTCATGCATGACTAGTTGCGATTTATAATAATAGTTGACGGATGATGGATGCCATGGTATATCCCTTAGCTCACTTTCAGCTTCAGGTGAGCTAAAACAGAAGGTGTAGATTATAAGCACATATTTACAGTAGTCCTATCATAAAACGTAAAAAATAATGCAAAAAAGATTATAAAAGAAACAAAAGAGTCGAACGGCAGTCAAAGTAATGCAAACAAGACATAAAACAAGCAGATGTACAGCAAACCATGAAGTCTACAGAGTAAACGTCTACAATGATGGGAGAAATATTCTGCCATGAACCTGAAGTTGACTGATGTTTAAAACCCAAACTAAATGACAGTCAATTAATTTACTTTATCGGAGACAAGTGGTTATGAACACTTTCATTTATAGTTTTAGAACATCTAAATAGTTCAACGGCCTAACCATTAATTAAACAAAATTTAAGAAACTATGTATCTCGAAAAATACTAAAACTTAACAATAAATGGATTGTGGGAACCAATTATAGAAATATCTTCATTACTTTTAAGTTAGTCTCATCTTTCCTGTGTTTGTGTTTTCTAGGGGACACCTGTGTGTAATGTGGAGAGATACTTCTACCTGATGGTATTATTTTGAAGTCATTAGACTTTGCAAAGCACGTTTCTTTAGCCTGAGGATTGAGACAGCTCTCTCTACATCACACAGCAGTAATTGATTATTTTCAGCCTATCTTGAGATATTGAAACAGCATGTAAATTCACATTACTTTCACAAAAGATTATCTTAAGTTATCACCATCCCCCAAATCATCAATATGTTAGAAAAAATTAACAATTGACTATATAATGTTACAGTCACAATAATAATAAAAACAAAAAACATGCTCAATAGAAATAATTTCAAAATTTCGTCGTTTTTTAAGATGTATCAGACCAAAAGAAAATAAAAATAATTATTAAACATCTATAAACTTCATTTAAGTTATTTCAGTTCAGTGATTCCCACCTATACTTAGCAGAAACAATCATCTAGACAAAGTTAGTTAACATCAGCATCACTATCTAAGACAAAAGTCAACAATTCAATGGTTAAGGACATATCATCAGGGCAGAATGATTAATGACTTGTAACAGGAATAAGAGTGTGGTTAAAAGCATACACAAATGTGGCTAATGGTTGCAATGCTGTGGCAAACAGGCTGGTGAGCATGACAGAAGCACTGGCAAGAGTCAGAACATCCACTATCACAGAAGCAGTTGATGCATTATAAGAAGGAGAAAAACCTTTCTTTGGTGTGCGACTTCGTGGTCGAGACATACGCTCCAGAAATGACTGGGTTGCCTCCGGAGACCTGGCAGGGATCTTCCTGGAAGGGACTTTGGAAGGACCGGGTGTGGTTGGTGTCTGTGACAGGGGTACAACTCTTTGGTTTGATGCAGATACTGCTAGTGGAAAACGTGTGTCAAATGGTGGCTTTTCAACGCTCTGTTTTGATGGAGCAAATGAAGAAGATTTGGAAAAGCCGTTCTTGGCTTTTGTAGGGGATGGGATCTTTGAAGTATCACTTTTATTTGGAGTTCTTTCCTTTGGTTTCCTCAATGGTTTCTGTGGTGTTACTGCACTAACGTTTTCATGTTTCTTTGGCTTTTCTGCATTTTTTTCAGATTTGTCAAAAAATTGAGGTTTGCTTTCAGCAGGTTCAGCAATTTTCTTTACATCTGCTTTAGCAGGACTACTTTCCACCTTTGTTAAATGTTCTTGTATTTCACTAGTTTTTTCAGTACTCTGTTCAGACGAAGAAACGTTTTCAAGAGTAACAGGAGATTGAAGTTCAGCTGTCTGCTGACGTGCAACAGGTGATGCTGGAGTTTCACTTGTTTTTGTATGAGGGACAACTATTGGAGTATCCATCTTATTCTCTCTTATATCTTCATCTCCAGTTTCACTTTTCTGTTTCTGTACTAAAATAGCATAATCTTCAACCTCTGCAACTTCACATAACTGTTCACTTCTACCCTTGGTTTCCCTTGTTCCTTCTTCTGTGTACTCCTTTTCCTCTATTCTGCCCTCTCTGTTCTTTTCTTCCTCTATTCTGTCCTGCATGTACTTTTCTTCCTCTATTCTGTCCTGTGTGTACTCCTCTTTCTCTATTCTGTCTTGTGTGTACTCCTCTTTCTCTATTCTGTCCTGTGTGTACTCCTCTTCCTCTATTCTGTCCTTTGTGTACTCCTCTTCCTCTATTCTGTCCTTCGTGTATTCCTCTTCCTCTATTCTGTCCTGTGTGTATTCCTCTTCCTCTATTCTGTCCTGGGTGTACTCCTCTTCCTCTATTCTGTCTTTTGTGTACTCCTCTTCCTCTATTCTGTCCTTTCTGTACTCCTCTTCCTCTATTCTGTCTTTTGTGTACTGCTCTTCTTCTATTCTGTCCTGTGTGTATTCCTCTATTCTGTCCTTTCTGTACTCCTCTTCCTCTATTCTGTCTTTTGTGTACTCTACTTCTTCTATTCTGTCCTGTGTGTATTCTTCTTCCTCTATTCTGTCTTTTGTGTAATTCCCTTCCTCTATTCTGTCCTGTGTGTACTCCTCTTCCTCTATTCTACCCTTTGTGTACTCCTCTTCCTCTATTCTGTCCTTTGTGTACTCCTCTTCCTCTATTCTGTCCTGTGTGTATTCTTCTTCCACTATTCTGTCTTTTGTGTACTCCTCTTTCTCTATTCTGTCCTTTGTGTACTCCTCTTCCTCTATTCTGTCCTTTGTGTACTCCTTTTCCTCTATTCTGTCCTTTGTGTACTCCTCTTCCTCTATTCTGTCCTGTGTGTATTCCTCTTCCTCTATTCTGTCCTGTGTGTACTCCTCTTCCTCTATTCTGTCCTGTGTGTATTCCTCTTCCTCTATTCTGTCCTGTGTGTACTCCTCTTCCTCTATTCTGTCCTTTGTGTACTCCTCTTCCTCTATTCTGTTATCTGTATATTCCTTTTCTTTTATTCTGTCCTCTGTGTACTTTTCTTCTCCTGTCTTCTCCTTGCTGTTTTCCTCTTCATCTCTTCTCTCCTCTGTGTACTCGTCTGATGATGATTTAGTTAGCATAGGTTCAGACAGAGGTGATGCAGCACTGTTTATATCACTCTCGTTAAGCAGACTCGAGGCTTCCATGAGGGAGGTGGCCTCCATGAGGGTGGTGGCCTCCTGAACTTGGGATAACATGGCATCATCCTGGTATGTTGAATATTCCATACTTTCAGTAAGTGTTTTTTTAATTTCAGCCTTATCATCAATCATGAGCTGGTCATCAGTTTCCTGTGATTCTGCTGTGATAACTGACTCTCCGAGACCTGACTCTTTCAGATCACTTCCACCCTCTAATCTCTTTTCTTCATACTCCTCAATCCTATCTTTGATATACTGGTCATTTGTGGCATTTGGTTGAATAGCTTCATTGCGTACATCTGAATGCTTTGGTATACCATGATCAAAATTAATGCCTCCCACAGAAGGCAAGCCATCCTGACCACCTTCAAGGTCCTCACTGCCTCTACCTGGGACATTCCCATCTGTATCCGCTGGAGGCATCCCAAATGATATGTCAATATCAGGTTGGCCTTTCACTTCTGGTACTGCATCATGACCCACTTTATTAGATTCATTTTCAAAAGACTGAAATGCATCTTGTTTTCCTTCATATTCAGTCTGTTCCTCAAACATGTTTTGGGCATATGCAGGTTGATCATCAGGAAGAGAGATTGGTCTACCATCTGATGGACAAATGTCTTTTACATCACTTTCTAAAGACATGGGTTTTGCATCCAACGCATGTGGCTGTGGAGACCCTTCTTTCCCTTCCTGTTCTGACAATCGGTCCACTGGGTCTCTATTGTCCTCATTGTCATAGCCTACCTTCTCATTGAATTCTTGATTCTGTTGTATAAACTCTTGCTGCAGGGCAAAATCTGTTGGTAGTTGTTCATTTGATTCTAGAAGTGTTCCTGTGTCTGTACGTGTATTGTCCTTATTCATACAAGAATTATCTGCCATCTGACTTAATATCGGTGAGAAAGCGACATCCTCCAGCTGGGAGATTACTTCTGGGGTGCAGGGTGCAGCCTGGTCTTGTTTGATACCAGTCTCTGATGACTCAACATACATTACCTTTTCAGGAGTTAAACCATGGTTATCTGGTTTTTCAGGATGTCCACCTGAGTAAAACTCTTGTGGGGATGTAATGTTCTGTGGAATCATCGGTTCTGTTTGAGGAAAACCTTGTTCCAGTTGGAATGTTTTTTCCCCCTGAAATGCTATTTGCTGTTCACTTTCAGGTTCCTGTTGTGGAGCAGAAATGTTTTGATTTTCTTCTCTCAGATTCAGTTCCATTTCTTCCTGATTGAATTCAGGCTGTTTCTGTACCATATTGACTTTACCGTCTATTTGCTCCTGGCTGAAGCATGACCCTGTTTCTTCCTTGTTGAATAATAGTTCTGTGCCGCTATGATTCATTGGTGGGGATGCCCCACCATGTGTTACGTTAGACTTGTTTTCCAGACCAGACATAAGTTGGTAGGATCCTGTAGCTGTCTCCTCATTGTTGCCATCCTGCTCTGGTGTGATAGATCTTTCCTCCATGTCAGAATCAGACTCAATAGTGAATGTTTCACTCTTACATATTGTCTCTCTGGGATCCATCTCTCCCTGTACAATCTGTCTTGTCTCATCGGCCTGTTTCCCTGGTCCTTGTTCAGAAAAACTTTCACCCAATACTGCATTAGCGTTCCTACTTGGGATGACTTCTTGTTGATGAAACTCATTCTCACTAAACTCGGATTTCTCAGAACTATGATCAAAGGCCGGATCTGAAATATCATCAGCAAACATAGGTCTTACTGCAACCTCATCAGTCGTCACTGGAACGTCGTACTCAACATTTCCATTGTTCTCCAGAACATCGCCATGAACATTTTCAGCATTGTCAGAGTCTGTATAATCATCCTCGATAATCTCATCATTCTCAACTTGTGAATTAGAGTCACTTTCTGAATAGTCTTCTTCTTCCTCATCATCACCTAGTTGTGTCATGGTGTTGATGGCTGGCTCATTCTGTTTTCCCATTAACTCAGGCACATTCTCTTTACTATCCAAAACACCCTGCTCCGGTTTTTTTTGTTCGAAAATGTCACTTTCAAAAGCATCACGTGTTTTACTACCTTCCAAATTCCCTAAACGCGGGCTCTCATCAAATGGGGCCGCTTCCTTCTGGTCATGTTTTAGAAAATCAGGAACATTGTGTTTAAGTGGTGACATGTCAGCTTTGAGGTCTGGAAGAGAATCAGGATCACCATATGTTTGGAGACACCTGACATCTGGATCAGTGTTCCCATTGCTAGGCTGCAAGATAATGTAAGGATCAGGTGGGTGTGCTTCCGCAGATGCACTGAAAACGTTGCTGTTCATACATCCTTCATCAGCACTTTGATCGCTGTCCTTGGAGAAAAAGATGAGCTCATTTTTCTGGTCCATGGGGGGTGCAGGTTCAGGAAGGGCTTGAGGGGCTGGATCTACTTCCTGCTCAACCCCAAAGACAGAGAATGACTCATGACTTCCTGTTTGGGAATAAGAACTCATTTCTGAATTAAAAGGTGAGAATGAATCATCAATATTAGAACCAACATAATCCTCACATTGATGTGAAAAGGAAGAAACATCACTTTCTAAGGGAATTTCTGGCTCCCTTGGGACTGAATAACTGGGGACATCACCTGCTAAAGTATCCTCATCACATAATGCTGATGGAACCTTCTGGTCATCATTTGGAAAAAATCCTTCATCAGTTTTTTTGTCAATTTCTAACATATAGCCTTTTCCTTCCTCGTGCTTGTGAACATCACCATTTCTTGTCTCCTTGGTAACATCATGCATCAATTCACCATCAGCCATTTTGTCACGTAGTCACGGGCGTCAGCAGCTGGCCTAGGCTTCTACAACAGAAAAAAAAGTCCAAACCTTAAAAACACATCAAATAGTTTTATAAATAATATCTACTTTCTATAAATAAAACCCCATAAATACAGATAAACATTAACAACTGATGACAGAAAACCATGTCTTTCTTCATGTTGACTTATACGCACTTATTTTAATTGAATGTTACAGGAATTTAGAGCACATATTATATCATCAAAGTCTATGATTTGACAAGTCTTGAGGTCTTGACATTAATCTAAATCTATATAACTTATTCTAATTTGATTCATGAGAAGGGAGGTAAACATATAGTTCTTTACTTTCAACAGGGATTCATTCTTGCTATGATACATAATGATTTCAGCTGGTTAATGTGTAAATCTCCTATCAAAATTCATTAATGTGTAGAAGGTGCCATCTGCTACCAAAATTGAGATAAAGATAGATTTAAAACCTTTTCTATCTGAGATTTTGATGGCATGTGACATCAAAATTTAATGGGCAAAACTATAGGGATCATGGGGGATGTACACATTAAGTCTCAGAAATGGCAATAATAAGATTAACCTGTTAAAATGCCTGTTGGCCATTTTGTTTTCCTAACCAAATTCAAAATTAAATCAGCACAGCTAAGGAGTGAGGAATCCACACATCAAGTGTGTGAACCACCCATAGCATGCCAAGACATAATAGTCACAGGTTGGCCTACTGTTCACCATTTTGTTTCCAATTAAGACCACTGGGGAAAAGAAGGCTATATATTAAAGGCCATAGGACATGATTCTGAACTTTTTCTAAAACAGAAAATAAACATTTCATGAAAGCATTCAAAAAGCATGAAGTAGGTACATGCAGGTATTCAGGGTTGACCAAAATTTTCAGGAGATGCGAGGTCATGTGATGCTATGACATCACTGGTGACCTAGTAAGAGGATATCCTCTTGGAAGCAATAGGACGTGTGCCTTACATAGTTAATGTGTTTTTAAACACAGAGACATCTGGATGTGAATTATCCAATATGAACACATACAGGATGTTATTCCTTGAGTAAGAGACGTTGAATTTACTGTACTTGACAAGTACATGGCTACATACACCAGTCAATATAAAGACTTGATTTGTAGGTCTCTGTCTACATCAACAACTTCAAGAGATGAAAACATTCTTTTTTATCCACAATTGGTCCAACTGGTATACTGTCAGGACTGACTACAGTGACCAGATATATTTACAATTTGGGTGTCACTATGTCCATCTCTGTCCAACTGGCTCCACTGACCACAGTGACCACAGATATACTTACAATTAGGATGTCACTATGTCCATCCCTGTCCAACTGGTACACTGTCATCACTTACCACAGAGACCAGATATACTTACAACTAGGGTGTCACTATGTCCATCTCTGTCCAACTGGTATACTGTCATCACTGACCATAGTGACCACAGATATACTTACAATTAGGGTGTCACTATGTCCATCTCTGTCCAACTGGTACACTGTCATCACTTACCACAGTGACCAGATATACTTACAATTAGGGTGTCACTATATCCATCTCTGTCCAACTGGTACCCTGACCAAGGTGACCACAGATATATTTACAATTAGGGTGCCACTATGTCCATCTCTGTCCAACTGGTACACTGTCAGCACTGACCACAGTGACCACAGATATATTTACAATTAGGGTGTCACCTGTCACTTCTCAAGTAGTTAACAAATATATATATAGTTCTATTATGTTTAACAAGTAAATACATTGTGCATTGGCTAGATAATTAACAAGAAAAAATCAACATGGTAGTTTGCCAACATTTTCAGTCCTAGCGGCCATCTTCTGGTAATTGTTTTAATGACTTGGTAACGACATTATGACATAATCAATAGTAACAGTAGGGGAGGTAATAACATTCTACAATTTACCTGTACATCACATAATACAGTTAACGACCATTTATTAACAATTTACATAATTTTACAAACATATCCTATTTTTGATATCAGTATCTGTAAAAAAGGGAATATAGATAAAGTGTCTTCTCCAAACATGCCTATAAGGGCCCTCCATCAAGACAAAGGGGGCAAAGATGCATTGTTTATACAAAACAAGGAGTTGCAAAGCGTGGCATTATTCCCTGCACCCAGCTGTTAGTGTAAACCCAAATATGATATTTATATATACAGGTATAACAATTTCTGATGTCACTCATGTATGTATTGCTACTTGAAGATCTAATACAGAGAAAGGGCTAGTGCACAACGTAACATCTTCTTCTGTCAATTATCAATTAAATTTCCTTACATCTCCTCAACTTCCACATTATATGTATATATACATAAATATATTTAACATATCAACTTTATAGTAGTGTAAGAGTTTATACCTTGATGTAGGTTCTGTGTGTTTGACTGTTGATATTCAAATAGAGCTTGGTATTTTCCATGAACAAATTTATGCAACACTCTATAAGCTCTGGAGTTATTCATGAAGTCACAAGATATTGAAAAATTTGATGGTATCAGAAAAAAGATAATAATAAAATGTTCTCAATAAAAAAAGGCACACCTAGGGCACTAACCTAATATATACAGAAAGTTTTGTGGAGTTGAGTTGAAAAGTTTTTAATTGATAGCCTGGAAAAGCCCTCAGACAAACGGGTGGATGGACACAAAGACAGACACATGGAGGCACTGATGTACGGACGGACAGAGCCCAAATTAATATCATCAGAGAACATGTTTCGTGGGGTATAATTAATCCCCTTTAACCTAAGAAGGCTTCTGACCTTATATAGGTAATATCTAATCATTCCTACATGGAGAGCACAATTTGAAAGCAATAGTTTAATTTCCCTTCGTGGACCCCTCCCCTCACCCACAAGGGCTGAGATGCTCCCTTTATACAAAACTGATTCCCCTTCACCTAAGAATGCTTCACACCAAACATGGGCATAATCCAGTCATTACTACAGGAGGAGTTGGAATTTTAAAAAAAATTGCTGTATTTCCCCCATTGGGCCCCACCCCTTGAGATGCTTGAGACTGAATTTGGGCAAAACAAAAAAATTCCTAAAGGAGGAGTAGGAATTCTATTTTAGTCAAAATCCACTCAGTTGTTCATGACAAGTAGTAATTATGAGCAAAAAAGCTGATGGCACTTGACCAGTTTGGTTAAGATTTCCTTACTGGTTCATAACTAATAGCCATTTGTAGGAAAAGTTGATGGATGGCTGGACCACAGACAAATGACTGATGCTGCACTTTGGCACTTCGGGCCAAGTGAACCAACAAATTGACCACCACGTGGTAAATTAGAAGGTACCGCAAATGTAGGGTCGATGCTCTCTATTTCATCCAGGCAATATAGACTGTTTTTTCAGGTGTATGTGTTGTAATACAGCCAATCCTATGAAATGAAGAGCCACCATCACATGGACAAAAGTAATTCAATTAAATATATCCCCTGGATAACGGTCACTAAGCAGCTTGTAACAAAGACCAGAACATAGACACCAGCACCTTGCATGGAAATAGTATCCCTTTATCTTTATCATTACCTTGATGAAAAAGGTTTACTGAAAGCCACAACATCATTATTGGGGTGGTATGTGAAGTGAAAGGAGCCGTTCATTAGTGTTTGTTGTTTCCCGTGGGGTAATTAATCAATGTATGATGGTGCATCAAGGCCCCCACTAACATACTGTATAAGAATTTGTCATAACATTACTTTTCTCTCTTCTGTCAAGTACATGTCACTTTTAATTTCAACCAATTCAGTAAAACACTTTTTTTTCTCTTTCTTTCATGTACAATTCCTTTTCATGACAATTACAAGGGGCCTACAGGACCTGCATTGCTCACCTGGCTAATTCAGCTATTTAGCCATGTAATAAAGAATTTAAATTATTATCAATAATTTATAACATAATTTCCACATTGGGTCCCAGCCTTCTGGTCAAACAGAAGTCAGCTTCATTATTCATAAAAATAGTTTCAGATCAAAGTTGGACAAAATCTTTGAAGAAAGAATTTTAAGAATTCATGTTTCCGTCAATCAGCCACCACCCCTCCCACCTCAGGGGGCTGGGATGCACCACCTATAAAGAAAAGGTTCCCCTTCATCTAAAAATATTTCAGACCAAAATTTGGCCAATACCAAGTCAATCCTACAGGAGTTTACTCTATTTCCCTTATTCGGCCCCACCCCTTCCACCCTAGGAAGCCAAGACCTTATGTCTATACAAAATTGATTTCCTATCATCCAAGAATGCTTCAGACAAAATTTGGGCAACATCCATTCATTCCTACAGGAGGAGTATGATTTTTAAGAATTTAATCTATTTCCACTATTGAGTCCCGACTAACCTCTCTCAGGGGGCCACGAGACCCACGGTTTATACAAATTTGATTTCCCTTCCCCCAACAATGCTTCAGACTGAATTTGGGCAAAATCCAATCATTCCTACTGGAGGAGTAGGACTTTAAAACAAGAGGCACATAGGGTCTATATTGCTCATCTAGACCTTATAGTCAAGCAATGTTATGCATGTCTACAGGTTGGGTATTTCAAATATTTCCAAATTAAAACACAGTCATTTAACCTCTTTGATGGGGCAAGACCGATGGGTTCTTATATCATGACTATCTTTCTCTTTTGATTCTCAGAAGAGTTGATATGGTTATCAGATTAGTATCTCAACTATGTCAAAACGATTACCCAGAAATAATGTCCCAGAGGGGTGGGACCACACCTACAAATTAAGTCCAGAGGGGTGGGACCACACCTACAAATTAAGTCCAGAGGGGTGGGACCACACCTACAAATTAAGTCCAGAGGGGTGGGACCACACCTACAAATGAAGTCCAGAGGGGTGGGACCACACC